AAAAATTAGTGAGTCTTATATTGACATCAGATACAATATTTTTTGTATGTGTGAATTTTGAGTGCTTCTTTATGTCTGTGAATAAATGTCCCTTGCATCAAAACAAATCAATAAATATAATTCAGTCAGTATTTTTTACAGATAGATCTTCCAGACTTTGGAAGGAAGTTGACTAACTTAAAAAAAGTGGGAGGTGCTCACTAATTTCCTTTTAAGTTAGAATTTTCTTTCTTCTATAAAGTTTGCAGTCCTACATTTAGAATATAAGTTGATACCATTATTTACTTAGTGTGTTGCACCAGTCTTTCAACAAATCTAGTATGTGTAAGTGGAAATATGAAGATTTTGAAAATCTATTATAGATTAACTTTTATACAATTATTTTTTCTTCTCTGCAAATATCTAAAAGTATTACTGACTCAGCATAAAAGTTTGAAAGTCAGATCTCTTACATAATAGGTTCTTGCTCTAACCATGTATTTGTAAAGTGTATGTCACCTGAGAGTGATCAAAGAACAAACCAATTAATATAATATGAAGACATGGCAAAAAAAAACAAAAGTCAATATAATGATAGACAAGATGAAAACTAGATAATAATAATAAAATAGTAAAACAAAAGAGAGAGAATATTGCTAAGAAATTTCCATCTGAATTTCTGGAATGAGGATTTATCATTATTTATACTATTTATATATGGATTATTGTGATAACAACAACAGAAATGAGGACAATAGTCTACATGTAAATAGTGTAAATAATACTGAGAAAGTTGTAATAAATTCAAAGAGTATGCTCTTGAAAATTATTTCTCTATCGATACAGCTTTGGTCCATCTTAAGACAGTATTGATCTTTCATTTTTTTCCATTTACCACTTCTATATTTGCCTGCGAAGTTTGTGCATTGCATCAGATGCACAGTTATGGCTTCACACTTAAACAAAATAAGACAAGAATAAAATGATGTAAATAAATAACCCATTCCAAATCCCTTGGCATTATGTCATGGATCTCTCTATATGTATATATGGCCATTCTAATTTCTACATCATTTAATATCAATTTTTCATTCTCTCATTTTTCGCAATATCTTTTTTTCTTCTTTGTTCTTAATTGTTTGTGCTTTTTTTATTTGCCTGAAGAAACATTTACAAGAGCTCAAGTCTTTATCCTTGTGCAGGTGGAAAGAAGAAAATTGGTCAATCTTTTGGATGAGATATAAAAAGCATTATATATTATATAGATAAGTAACTAGGTATGAATGGTAATGGTAATATTAGCTGTTTCCTTATATTGAAATATTCAACATTTATTGACTGAACAGCTGGTGATACTGCTGGTTGAAATTTATAAAATCTTTTTATTTAAAAATTTTCAGCAAAAAGTTCATTAACTGTTATTGATTTTTCTAGTATTGATGGGGGCTATCTTCATAACATTTTACTATCCATTTTAGTTGTTGCTGCTGTTGAAATTCCTCAAGTGTTATAGTTTCTGTTATTTGGTAGAGTTCTTTGTGATTTTGTAATACTAATCCACAAGGTTTAAAGAAAGATGGTTCTCACTAAGACCTACAGGCTTCATTTGCTCAAAGCCATTTTTAATCATCAATCTGAGAAAGTGTTTGTATACAAATAATTTTCTCAATATAGAGTTAACTTTAGCATTCCTTAAAAATTGTATATGATTTTTCCAGACAAGTGTGCACTTGAAGCAGTTATTATCTGTTATCCGAATGCACAAACTATATATATGTGTGTGTGTGTGTATTTGGTGAAGTTGGTGTTTCTCCTCCAGTAGAGTCTGGATACAACTGTTGTTGTCAAAGAACCAGTTCTAGTGCATGTGGGTGATGGGTCTCACAACTTACAAGGTGGCAGTATAAACAGTAACACAGAAATGAGCCCATTCTGCCTCTACATCAATGTACGGGTCTGTGTTGGGTGGTGCTAGCTTGTTGTCCAATTCCTCTATCAGTTTTTATTTGACCAGGTCATTCTTTAGCTTTGAGATGTTCAATCGCTTGGGCACTCTGATGCCTTGTGGCTTCTTTGGTGATGTGATACAGAGGTTCATCTTGGAGATCAGCAGACAGTGGTTCATCCAGAATTCAGTACCACACATGGTCCCTGTGACCCTCACATCCTGCCTACTAACAATGATGTAGTGAAGTAGATGCTAGAGACTAGGAGCTGTAGACAAGTTCATCTACCTTGGTAGCACTCTGTCATGCTCTACAAACATCAATGAGGAAGTGGCTTACAAAATTGCCAGAGCCAGTGTGGCCTTCAGCAGACTGAAAATAAAGTCTGGGAGTGACAAGGACTGAGCCTTAACACTAAGCTCAAAATGTACAGAGCAATAGTCCTACAATGTCTGCTCTATGTGTGTGAGACATGGACAGTCTACAGATAGCAGGCTAAACAGCTTGATGTCATCCACATTAGATGCCTCAGGACCCTGCTCCATGTCAAATGACAGGACAGTCCCAGACACTGAAGTACTCCAGTGTGCTGGGATGGAGAGCATCTGTGCCATCCTGCTGTGCTATCAGCTCTGGTGGGCTTGGCCACACACACCATATGGACGAATGTCACCTCCCAAAGAGACTGCTCTATGGTGAGCTATCCACAGGCAAGTGCTCACTCAGCAGACCTAAGAAACATTACAAAGACATGCTGAAGGAGTCTATCAAGCATTGTGGCATTCCCCATTCTGTCTGGGAAGAGTCTGCAGAGGACCATGCCATTTGGTGCTCTCTTGTAAGGTCTGGAGTGTCTGATTTTGAAGAGAAAAAAATCAGGGGCAAAGAACAGAGACATCAAAAAGGGAAATATCAAGAGGGCTTTGCCTCTCAGCCTGGTTCATCCCCCAGTATCCCATGTTACAACTGCAACAGATTTTTCAGGGTGAAGATCGGATTCATAATCATCTCTGCACCCCCCACCAGTGATTCAGAGTCAAGGTCAAATTCTCATGTGGAGGATGAACAAAATATATATATATATATATATATATATATATATATATATATATATATATATACATGCACACACACATATCTATATATTTGTTAAGTTCATGTTCTTATTTTTTTCCTGTATGAGTGTGTATGTGTATATGGAGAGAAAAGAAAAGAGAAGATTGTAAATGAATGCAATTCATGCCAATGTCTAGAACTGAAAAACCTTAAAACTCAATGTAATTATCTCATGAGAACTAGTGTGGGAATTTTACTGCTACATAAGCAAATAATTAAACAATTCAGCTCAGCAGTGAACAAGGTGCTATTCAAAATTTTTTGGAATTGCAACAGATTGCTTACTCTCTTCATGTGTCAAGTATTTCCTATATCTCTCTGGACATTTTATATATTTCTCAAAATCACTCTATGAAGAAATAAAGAACCTCATATTCTGTTAGATTTTCCTTGCTTTGAGGAAACCATTTCATGCTTTTAAGTTTCCCAAAACTCTTGGGCAGTGTCTTGTATCAGTGTGACATATATAAATTATGTACTCATGTGGAGATTAAAATTTGGTGGGTTTGTGGGTTTAGCCCACCTTGTCTGTCATGTGACCTTTCCTAATGACTGCTAGGTGGCATTGTATAAAGTAGTATAAAAGGAAAAGGCAAACTCTTTCTTTTTTTTTCACTCTTTACCCACAGGATGCCATAATGACAAAAAGGTTATTAGTCTTTTGTTTTTTTGTTACACCTGGTTGTGTACATAAATATATAAAATCCATCTACATATAAATTTTGAGTTTAGAATTTTGTCAGGGAACTCATCAGTTAAATCAGTTATGTGCTATACATGATACACACTTAGGTGATCATGTATTTTTCAATACATGACTGATGAAGCAGATTTTTTCCCGCAGTAGGTTGCCATTTCTTGCTGTGGTAGACCAGTTGCCATCCAAGGCTATAGAAGCCAGTCTGTCCTGCTATTTACTCATAGCTAAGAGGAGAAGAGGAGGATTCATACCTTTCCCAAGCACATAAGTGAATGTAATGGATTTGACTGGAATTCAAACTCAGCTCTCCAGTTCCTCAATTCGAGCCATTATCCATTACTCCACATAAATATTCATTTTTGGTTCCCTTCAACTTATAAAACATTTCTGTTTGAAGTTTTGGGATGAGTTAACATTATATTATTTACATGAAGACTACTGTTTTTATTATCACAAATAGTAATTGTGCCCTTCGGCCTTCATCAGGTGTTTGTCAATCTAGTTAACCATTAAAGAGTTTCAAACTGAACCCTTTCTTTCAGGTTTAGACTGTTCTCATTCTGTTGACCATGTCTAGGTATGTCTTGACCAGTTCTTATTTAGTACTGCTCAATTATTGTTCACTCTGTTTTCTCCGAGTTCAAGGGATTGAACTCACAAATACTAGGATACAAATTCATAAACAAATGCTTCAATCCACTAAGCCATTGTCCTATGGGACATTCCTGAGTGGAGAACTTGCCTTCAAATACAAACATGAAGACAATAGTCTGCATGTAAATAAAGTATTGAGTGTTATTAATCTTTATGTAATTTTTAATTCATTTCATTTGGATACACTTTTTTTTCAAAATGCTCAGGTCATGTAAGTAGCATGGGTAAGAAATAAAGAATAAGCTTCCTATAAGAATTGAACCCCTATACTTTATTTTTGAAAGTTTTTTCAAACTGGACAGTACCTTACTAATTAAGCTATAAAAGCTAATAACAGCTACCATTTAATTGAAGAGTATATTAACTGATTCATTTTCTGTGACTTCTTAAACCTTTGCAGGTTATTTAAAGCCAGAAAATATTTATAGTTAAGAATTTGGTGGTGGGGAGATAATAATGATTTAGTGATACAAGTCTTACTAATTACCCCATAACTGGAGGGAGAAGAACTGGATTCATACCTTTTCCAAGAGTATTTGCACATAAGTGAATATAACAAACCCAACTGAAATTAGAACTTTCATATTACCACCCACACATCCTAGCTTACAGCAACTGGTATTCCCAAGTGGTCACCCATCTTGGTATTGATCAGGCTCAGTGTTGCTTAACTTCGGTAATCATACAGTAACCAGTGCTTCAACACTTTATGGTCGTAAGCCTAGATGAATGGTATAGGATCTCCTATATGATTTTCAGCATTATTAGATCAATGCTGTAAGAACACTGTATTATTGTATTCATATTTTTTAATTATAATAATATTATTAGTAACTGAATGATAGAAGAAAAAAATTCTATAGAATAAATCTTGTCCTTAGAAGGAATTTCTTTGAACAAGACTTCTAAGGATGAAACCCGTTATATAGGAGTTTTTTTTTCCAATTTTGTCATTCAATTACCCACTGATTAGTCCGATATATCAACTTGCATATCATATCTTCCAATAATATTACTTCGTTAATAATTTCTTAATTCAAAAAGTTATAGTATACTGTCACTGCATTAAATTCTTTTGTCTTCTATGATTTATAACTGCTTGGCATTAATTTGATACTCAAAAACATATATGTAATAAATTTACTTGTAAGAATCTTCAAGTGTAGCAATAATAAGCTCCAATTATTGACCTCCCAATGGTATGTAACCCTTCCCAAAATACTACTTCAGTCTCCTATATCATAATTGTTCCATTAAATGACATTTAACTTGTGATAGTAAAACTTTCAATTAAGAGTATAAAACATTTGTGTTGTATGGCTGAAGTATATTTTATAATAACAGTAAAAAAAAAAAAATTGCATATGGTTGTATGAAGCTTTCAGGAACTCACTTCTGGTCATAGAAAACATGACTCAATTTATTTAGATGATAAGACAGATAATTACAATAATAATTTGATTCCATAATTTGAAATAAATTTCTCTCCTTTTGTTCTTTTTTATCAGTATATATTCTGATATATATATTTACTGCTATTTGGCCTTTGGGCTCTGAGGCATAAAACGAAGAATATAACCTCAGTCCCAGGAGTTCCATCTCTCCAAGTAATATTTTTCCTTTCAGAGGGGGGCTAGCATTATTACCTGATGCCTGAAGTATTCCGCAAAAAGGGAAGTACTGAGGGGGCTGGAAACTTTAAACTCAGCCTTATATCACACAAGGGGTATTCAGATAAATATGATCTCTCTCTCTGTATATATATATATATATATATATATATATATATATATATATAAATTTATGTAATATCAGTTCTCCTATATGGCAGCTTATATACCAATATGGAAGTCAAGAAGATACTTGCCTTCTTTAACATGTGGTAGGAGCAATGAGAGCTGCACCAACTTTTCAAGGATGCACATATCATCATGATCTACAAACAAAAAGGTGATTGTGCTAACTTTGGAAACCATTGTGGAATCTCCCTTCTTGCTATTGAGGGTAAACTGTTAGCCAAAATTCTTCATGGTCACCTCCAGAAATGTCTATTAGAATAGGTTCTTCCTGAAAGCCAGTGGGGATTTCATTCTAACGACTCCACTGTGGGCATGACTTTTACATTATGATAACTGCAAGAAAAGGCCAATGAACAACATTGACTTCTCTACATAGTCTTTTTTGACTTCCCTATAGCTTTTGACACAGTCAAGAGAGAGATGCTATGGAAACTCTTATGCTGTTATAGTGGAACACACCTATTCTATAGTTAATAGACTCTCCCACCTATAATAAGCAGGAGTCGCTAAGTCGCTCAGCGAGTTGTTCAGTCAGTCGATGTCGGACGACTGTTAGTCAGATACTAAAGTATCAGTGACCCCAACTAGATTTCTCTGCGTCATTACCTGTTATATCAAGTTCCTAACATTTTGTACGTCGAACCTATTTTAGGACCGACTTAGTACAAATACAAGCCTCCACTATGAAACCACTCTACAACATATGCCCATATGACTGCCCAGATATTTTTGTGGAGATTGATGGTATAAATGCCACTGTATCAATTGGAGGATCTGAATTTCTGGTTTCACATAGGGTCAAACAAGGCTGAGTACTGGTGTAAACATTTTTTACACTCTTCCTTGCTGCAGTCCTGACTTGCATGTTGGGGTGTGCTCACAAGGGAGTATACCTGTGCTTCAGGCTGAATGGCAACCTCTTCAATCTGGCCTGTCTCCCCACCAACACAAAATGTTTCGAAAAGGTTATCCAGGACCTGCTTTATGCTGATGATGCTGACCTCGTCACATTATCACTTCCAAAGAGCTTCAACAAAATTCAACTTGAAGATTAATATGAAAAGACTGAAACTCTTTACCAAACTCCTGTGAATGAGCTCTATATGGGGCCAATAATCATGCTTGACAGTGAGCCACTGAATTCTGTTTGCAGTTTTGTTTATCTCTTACACCTTCAAATGAGTGTCTTTGAAACTTATATTATTCAGATCATCATTACTTTTCTTAATTGTATATAATAGAGCAGTCTCATGCTTAAAAGTTTTTCTTAAATTAATTTGCTTCTTATTGAATCATGACAAAATCTTGAAGAGTCAAAAAAAGCTATCAGTAAAGGAAAAAGCTTAAAACATGCTTGATGTGTAGATTACATAGATAAACAATATTTGCTTACATTGAAAGACAGTAATGGAGAAAAATCCTGAATGTAGAGACAAGATGTCAAAAATACCCAAGTAGTACTATGCAAATCTGCATGCTTTGAAAATAAAAATACTGCCAACATTCACCTGTGAGAGATGTAACAGATAGAACAAATTATTTCAAAATGTGGAAAAGTACTAGGTGAAGGTAGCATAATAACACACATTTTAAATGATGCATTGAAAAAATTCCACAAAATTATCGACCCAGTGCATACAGAAAAGTAACTTAAACTTTAATATTTATCCAGCTTAATAAAATAATGATAATTTTTTTCCATCACCACATTTGATAAAAACTTTTTGTACATGAAGTATATACCAAGAGCTCAGATTTATATAAATTCCAAGATCCTGTACCAATTATTATTAATAAGAAATATATAACTGGAGTGAGCTAGGGAAGAAAGATTTATTCTCCCATTTGTATTTCCCCCATTATGGACATTATTACATCTGTGATATAATAACACTGTAGTTCATAGACAGAACAGAATGGATGAAAGGAAAAAGAATAACAAATATGCTTTGATCTTAGAGAAACTTTTATACTAATAAAGCATACACAAAACTATATATACAAGTATTGCATGCAGAGAATAATATATCACATATATCTACACTATGTGAGCATAGTGTAAGGAGAAACAAAAAAGAAGGGTCTAACATATAATATGTAGATACTCCTATGTCTGGAGAAGCCATGTTTAGGACTCCAGATTCATCTATGTCCCAGGCGAGGACATATATCCAGAATGCGAAACAGCAAGTCTTGGATTTTCTCAAATTGAGGACTACAATCTGGAGTTTCTTTTTATATCTGGTTAAGATATATTCCCAAAGGGAAACTGGACCATAGACATGTAAGCTGTGTGGGAGGCAGATTTGGCCTCTGTCCAGGCCATAGGGGAGGAGCAGTCTAAAGAAAGTAACCTTACAGTTTAGCTGCTGTAAACAAACTGAAATTGACTGCTATTTTCATCACTGTATTGAGTGACATCACTAAGCAGCCATCATGTGACCCATGTGATTTATCACCACCAGAGGAAGATAATCACCTTCTGTATCCCTACAAATGCATTTGAATTAGTTGTTCTACTATTTTGATTGATACTATATATATATATATATATATAGGGGGTGAAAAATGAGACAAAGTGGAAAAGGTTTTTAATGACAACATATTTTGCATTTCTGTGTTGACAAATTCAGGTTATAATGAAAGAAAACTTTCCACTGTCTCATTTCTCCACTTTTGTTCAGATTCTATGCACACACACACACACACACACACACACACACACACACATATATATATGCTATAAGTCAAAAGCTTGAGGATTTATTAATTAGTAAGTTTCTTTTCTTTAGTTTAATCCTCTAAGCTAGGTTACTGAAACTATTTAACCTATTATTGCATAACATCCAAATTTTTTAGAGATGGTTTTACCTAAAATTTAAAATTCACCAGCTTTTGAATTATCATTAGCTAGTAAAGTAGAATTTATATTAAATAAAATTCTAAGGAAACTTTATTCAGTAATGTGTCAATTTCATTATTATTATTATTGAATACATGATAAAACCATACAGGAAGTACATATTGGTATCACAGGAAATGATAAAGCAAATTCTGCATGAAGAAAAGCTTCTACTATAAAAAACACATCAGACGCCTTAAATACCAAAATCCTATATACAGATGTGAAACCAACAATCAATGAGGGAGGAGTGGCAGAATCTATGGAACTCCTGCCCAAACAACAAATTGTACAAAAGGAAAATCAGAAACACCAAACTAGAAGAGAAGTGATTATATCCAGGATTCATATTCAACATACTACCATAACCCATTTGTATATCCTAAAAAGCTAAGATCCTCCAGTATGTGTGGCATGCTAAGAGCCATTCACCATAAAACACATACTGACAAACTACTGACAAACTACTGACAAACTAATTTTAATTCAGTCTGTTTAAAATACTACCAAACAACAAACTTAAAAGAACTGTTTTTCAAAATACTGATTCACTTTACATATTCCAGTTTCTAAAAAAAATTAAACTGATTTCAAAAATATAATTAAAAAAATATAACAATAGCAGTTTTACTATTTAAAATAATTATTGTTACTTTTTAAATACAAGGCTTTGTTAAGAAAATGCATTAAATGGCCCAATGGGTTGATATGCCACAAAACAAACCAAACTAAACCTTTTGCTTCAATCCACAGAATCAACAGAACCAAATAATGTCACCTTGCAGCTCTGGTGCATTTTCTAATATAATTTTCACTAATCAACTTTTTGTATTATGGGAGAAACTTTGGTGCTTTATAAACTATTTTTGACTAACCAAGTTAGCTGCAAGTTAATTGTTAATTCTTTCATTATCTTGTTCTTATTTATTTATTTTAAGCTTCTGAATTCCTATCTTCTGTCTGAAAACTTGAACTTTAGATGTTGGAGATTTTCACATGACCATATTTCTAATATAAA